ATATATTAAAAATAATTATTTTTATTTAAAAAATCCTAATAAATTTTAATTATTTAAATAAAAAAGGTAAATAATAAAAATTTTATATAAATATGATATATAAAATTTTTATGAAAATAGATGCATCTTCTTATTAATTTATTTAATTTATTAATCCTATATTATTTTCTTTTTCTTTAGGACGGGCGGACACATGGGTTGGGCCGCTTGGTGCAACATTATTGGGCCCATTTGCAGACAAAAAAATTATTGGGTCAACGACTCAACATAATAATTATTGGGCCAATAAAATAAAAACCCATAAACAAAAAACAAAGAATACGTATCTGGCCCAAATCCCGTTTTATGACAATCCATCAAAGACTGATAACACCTCCTGCCGCCACCGTTATTCACTTGTCGCATTCCAACCCCTTCCTCCTGCCCTTGGAGACGAAGAAGAGACCTCGTTCTGTATCGCCGATACGCACTCGCCGGCGACGGTTGCTCCTTATAACTATGGAGGAAAACAACAGTTCAATCCACGAAGAACAACATAGGTTAAAGAAGTAAGTACCAAGTCTTAGCCTGTTGATTCAGTAGTATTGGTGTTCGGTGGTGATATTGATTACTTCTTTCCCTCTTTTCTTGTTTGTTTCAGGGAAGCTCCTCAGCTGGCTGCGGTGTTGAAAGAGATGAAGGCAGGGTTGGATGTAGTAACTAGCAAAGTGCAAGCTTTAACTGCTAAGGTAGGATGCAATGCTTAATCCCTGAAAATTTTACGGTTCAGGTGTAAATAACCCATATGAATACTGAGATTGCTGCAATTTAGAGGTTCATTGGCTAGGTTACCAGAAATTTGATGTTTTGGGTTTTCAATTTATGGCTGATTCGTTTGTGCGGAGGTTTTCATTTTTGTTTTCAATCATTTTGCATAATAGGTGAAAGCAAATAACTTTCCAACAGTGGATGGAATAAGCTATCTTGAGGCTAAGCACTTGCTGCTTCTAAACTATTGCCAATCACTTGTCTATTATTTGCTTCGCAAAGCGAAAGGCCTTTCAATTGATGGGCATCCTGTTGTTCAGAGCCTTGTTGAGATTAGATTGTTCCTGGAAAAGGTTTGGAGTTTTTTTTTCTACTTGTCAATTTATGTGACTTACTAGTGAGGTGTGGCTCCTTTGCAAACTGTTGACTTCTCTTGTGGTTAACAGATTCGGCCTATTGACAAGAAACTCCAGTACCAAATTCAAAAGCTCACAAGGGTTTCTGAGGCTACAGCAGAGCAAGCAGGCCTGGATGAAAAAGAAGCAGATGCACCTCAGAGGGTGGATGATCTGTTGAAATATCGCCCTAATCCTGACATGCTCATTGACAAAACAGGCACTGCTGCAGAGGTGATTGTTGATAAGAAAGTAAATAAGTACTTAGCTAAAGTCTATTCTGAAGATTATTCTTTGTTAATTATTCTATGTTCGTCTATTGTAGGATGATTCTGGTATCTATCGACCTCCTAAATTTGCTCCTACTCTTGTGGAAGAGGAAAAGATGTCTAGAAAGGAAAGAAATGCTTTAAGAAAGGAAAAAGAGGCTTATCGGCAAGCTTTACAGGGTTCTTATGTGAGAGAAATGATGGATGACATGGAGGGGAGACCTGAAGAGGTTTGTTAGTTAGTTAGCTACTTTGTTGCAATACTTGGGGAAGGTTTCATGCATGGGTTCAGCTAACTTTGTTTTCTGATGGTTAAATACAGATTAGAGAAATTATTGGAGCTGAGAGCAGAGAACTCACTAGATATATATCAAAAAGGGAAGAACGTGAACGTCAAGAAGAGGAGCTTTTCACTCGTGCTCCTCTCACAAAGCAGGAGAAAAAGGAGGCAAAACACTTGAAGAAGTCAAGAAATGGGTATGCATAGTTTGATGTCACTGTTAGTTTTGTGTTCTTTTAAACTATTGTCATCTTCTTACTCTGAAATTTTGTCAAACTTTTATGATTTCTTTGGATTGACTGTTTCTGTTGCTCATATCAGGTTGCTTAGTCTGACTGACAATTTCTATGATGAAATCAAGACTTTACCGTTGGGAGATGTTGGCAAAGATCAACCAGAGAGCTTTGGCAGTGGTAGCAGTGGAATGGGGAAGCTTAAGAAACGCAAGGTATGTGATATTGAATGTTGGGTCCAGTTTGAAATTTCACATTCTTGTTTCCCTTTACATCCCTAGCAAATGCCTTATGTCTAACATATCAATACAAATAACAACCAAATTGTGGTGAGTTATTCAAGGGTCTATCTCTGAATATCATGTTCATTACTACATTGTATGGTAATGTAATTAGCATAAATTATATCATATAGTACTATAAATAGTGCATTTACAAGCAGATAGGCCTTACTTTCCAGCACCAGAATCATAACCACTCTTTTGTTGCCAGAAAAGATCCTTTTGATGAACAGATGAAAGGGGGAAAAGATAATCCAAATTTGATATTTTCAAATCATAGCTGTGGAATTTATATTTTACCCAGTTAACCGACTTGACTGCTTCATTTTCCCATGTTTATCTGCATCATCCTTCCTTTATAGCCAGGTTTTATATTAGATAAAGGCTAACATATTCTATTTCCTTGCAGAGGACACATTGATTGATAACAAAATCAGATGCACACAACTTATGGGAATTTCAGCCTGGAAGATGATTTTGGCTTAAGGAAAATTTTGAAGTTTGATTTGTGTTTTAAGTTACACATCTACTATCTTATTCTCCATTTTTTCCTTTCTTTTCTTTCCTTTTTTTTTTTTTTTGCCTTTTTTGTCTGTAGATTTTAGATTATACTGCAATTACGGCTCTTGATTTGCATTGATGAGCTCAGAAATCAGAATTACTTCTGGACTTGAATCACAAAAAATAGGGGGAAAAAAGGGGAAAAGGAGATGAATTTTCTCTGGCTGAATGACAGGGAGCATATTTGTTTTTTCTTTTATAAATACTCAATCAATTCCGCAAGTTCTAACCGAGGTATGTTATGTGCAATAACCCTGTCTTTGGCTCTGAATCTTCCTGCCTTATCTGCTGGGTGCCAATACCAGAAGGCAGAAGGTAACTGGTGAAATCTTAGATGAAGGTAATTGAAACCTGGAAGCTAATCAAGTGAGGCGAGATCAAATTATACAAATAAACAATGAGATGCCATAGTTTAAAGAATAATACATAATGTGTTAAACTATATATATATTTTTGAACATGAGACGAGAATGAACTCAAGCCCAAGGGAGGGGTAAAAGTACACATTTTTAATGTCACTAAACTCGAAGGAAGGACAAGATAAACAATTAGTATAACATGAAAGAATGATTATCCTCACTATTTATTTTTTTAGTATATCAGATTATATACAACAAGGAATATCTCTTTTTTTTTTCAAACTTATTTTAATCCATTCTAGAATTTAAAATTGAAATTTTTAGTATGAAAATTTTTAATTATTGGAATATCCCTTTAAGGACTATTCCTACCCTATTCATGATAGAGGAAAATTGGTGATAATAAAGAATAATTTTTTTTTTATTTACAAAGAAAATAACTTTTTTTTTTCTTTTTTAAATGAGAAAGAATAGTTATTCCAATATTTCATTCTCCCTATTTGGGCATCTTTATAACCACTAATAACTATAAAATATTATCTTTAAAATACTAATTCTTTTTAACTTAATTAATAAAGATAATTAGTAATTGTAACAATTAATTAATACTAAATAAAACAGTTAATATTTCATAATTAATAAATTAAAATTAATTAACAAATTAATATTTGTTGATGTTATTTAAAAAAAAAATTATAGTGGCCTTAATAATTTGGTCAATGACAATAACCATGCCCCCATAATTTCCCTTAATTCTATGATTCCATCGAGAAATAATAATTATCTCACAAACCAAACATCAGCACACTGTAAAACTGAATCAAATGCCAAAATGCATGTTGATACCAAACCGAAATTACTAATATTGAAAGTTTGAAACTTTTCTTCTTCTTTTTTTTCGATTTGGTGTTGATTTTTGGGTGGGTATTTCCAAACCACCTCAGACACGCCTTTTAACTGACATGTGCTATATCTAGAAAAATCATTTCATAAAAATATATATATATATATATATACCAATTCACTTGCAATCACGTTGTTACAATAAAATTTCTTTATGGGACTATAATTATGGTTGTTTGGGCAGCTTCAAGATCCAGTACCATAAATATCTTCAACTGCTTCAACACCTAAAATTCTCGAAGATGTTTTCTTGGGAAAAACACTTCGACGCTCAAGTTAACAATACTCAATATTCTAAAGAGAGATGCTCTCAAAAAGTAATTGCTAAGAGAGAAGCGTAGTGAAGTCAATACCTTACATGGAGATAGTTTGGGGTATTTATAACACCATATACTGACATGAATTCAGACATGTATTCATCCAATTGGTCTACGTGTTACTGTCCACGTAGGTGTGGTCTCCTCATTTTGGACCTATGAACACATAACTGGGCCTGTTGCATGTGGTCCGAAGCGGGTATTGGACCTAATCCCATCAATGGTTTACTCCTTTCTGTGGACATGGACAAATAAATAAGCATGGCTGCACCTACACAAGCCTCAGAGTCAGAGACCAGTTGGTAGATGTAACACCCCACATACCTTAGTGAATAATTTAAAAATTAGTGTCCTTTAGTTTATAGTTTTAGGAATTAAATTGATTGAATTTAAAGTTTGGGGGTTTTAAGTAAAACTTAGTAGAAGTTGAATGACCATAACTCAATATTCCAATTTTGCTTACCACATGGCATTTTCCCAACCAAGTTTTTGGTCTTTGTCGGTGGAAGCTTGGATAAGCCTCCAGAAGGCTCCCAAAAGCCTCATTTGGTTTTCCTATACTTTCCTCTTCCACCTACATCCTTTCTTCCTCCTTTCTCCAACCAAGATTAAGGTCCTTTTGTTAAGTAAGTATAAGTTTTAGTTATGAATTTTGAGTTAGAGTTTTGGGTAATTTAAATTGGTGAGATTTGGCTTTAATCCTTTGGTTTATAAGATTTTTGGGTATTAAACTTTTATTAGAAATATCCTTAATTTTGGGGTTTCTATGGCAAAGATAGTGAGTTAGTCCTTTCTATGGTTTGATTTGGGTGTGATTTTTGCTACAGGAATTAGAAGGAAATTGTATTATTTGTGAATTACTGTTCATGATTACTGTTCACAATTACTGTTCATGGTTACTGTTTACAATTACTGTTCACGGTTACTGTTTAAAATTACTGTTTACGGTTACTGTTCACAATTACTGTTCACGCATTATGCTTTGATCTCTTCCAATAGGGGATCCTAATATTATTTTGGACATATTATGAATTTGTTTGACATGCGTATGTGTTTGTAGCTATGGAGTAAGTGGACTTAAGCTTAAAGCTTGGGGTATTCAGTGGACCCTTCGGGGTATTTAGTAGACCTCTGCGCAGTAGGGTTAGTACCGTGATTAGTTCCGGTACAGTATTGCTAGCACACCTCAGTGGACTCCATAGCATTGTGTGATTTTCGATTTTATGCATTGCGCTTGTGACATCATATTTGTGAGCATATGATTTTAG